ACAATAAATCTGTTAGAATCCACATCTTTGTTCCTCTGTATATAATGTGATTTTCTTTTCTCTCTGGCTGCTTTAAGATTTTTTTAATTTTTTAAAAAAGTTTTTAAGCTAATTTTTACTATTAAGCAATTTGATTATGATGTGCCTTGGTGTGGTTTTCTTCATGTTTCATGTGCTTGGCTTTTGTTGAGCTTTTTGGATCACTGGATTTATAGTTTTCATGAAATTGGAAAATTTTTCAGATGTTATTTCTTCAAATTTTTTTTGTTCCCCACTCCTCTCCTTCGAGGATTTCAGTTTAAATTATATTAGGACACTAAAGTTCTACAACTCACCAATGCTGCTTCATTAAAAAAGAAAAAAAATCTTTTTCCTTTTGTGCTTCATTTCGTAAGTTTATATTGACACATCTTCAAGTTCAATGATCCCTTCTTCTGCTGTTATCCCATCTGAGGTATTTTCCATCTCATACATTGTAGCTTTCCTCTTTAGGAGTTCAATTTGAGTCTTTTTTGTATCTTCTGCATAAGTCCTTGCCTAATTTTTCAAACTTATGGAATGTATACAATAACTGAGTCTTCTCATCTGCCACTTGTAACATCTCTGATGGCCTGGGTGGGTTTTGATTGATTTTTTCATTGCAGGTCGTATTTTCCCACATCTCTGTATGCCTGGTTAGTTTTACTTGAATGCCAGGAAGTATAAGTTTCATCTTATTGTGTGCTTGGTATTTTTGTACTCCTGTAAATATTCTTGGGCTTTGTTATGTGATGTAGTTAAGTTATTTGAAAACAGTTTGTCCCATTTGGATCTTCCTTTTAAGATTTGTTAGGTGGTATCAGAGCCGTGCTCAGTCTAAAGATACTTATATTTCCCACTAGTGAGGTAGGACCCTTTAGTGTACTCTATCCAATGTCCTGTGAATCAAGAGGGTTTTCCATCTGGTTAGTGGGAACATGCACTTTTCCCAGTCCTACAGGTATGCTGGATACTATTACCTCTAATCCTTTCAATTGGTTCTTTTCCTGGGCTTGGGTAGTTTCTTCACACACATGCATGATCAGTAATCAGCTAAATACTTGCAGGGGACCCTCTGCAGATTTCTGGAATTCTCCTTTTGTGCTGCTCTTCCCTCTTCCCTCTGCCCTCTAAACCCTAGCTCCTTTGGTCTCCCCAGATACTCAGCTCCATCTCTTCAACCCAGGGAGTCCACCAGGTTGTCTGGTCATGCAGCACAGCCAGGCAGTAAGCTGGGGCAATCACAGGGCTCGCCTCATTAATAAACTGTCTCTCAGGGATCACTGTTCCTCTTCATTGTCTTGTATTCAGTCTCGAAAGCTGTTGTTTAATATATTCGGTTGGATTTTTTATTGTTAGAGGAGAGTGAATTCTGTCCATCTTATTTCATCTTGACTGTATGAAAAAGGCCCTGTCCAATATCCTTCTAAATAAATACTTTTTGTGCATATATCCTCTAGAGTCAAGGGCTATTGCTTGCAAGTAAGAACCCGTATGACACATCTTGTTTGAATCCATCAAGCCCTCAAAAGGGCAGAATCAGACTTTGCATCTTTTTCTGTTTCAAAGGCTCCCCTTCTCCCCTTTGAGCTGCCCTTTAACATCCTGTTACCTGTGGCAGATGCCTCCATCTCTCAGGTGGTTTACAGAGCGTGGATAAACGACTTTCACTCTCTTCTCTCTCTCCATCTCTCCCTTCAGCTCACTAACTGTGCCTCAACAAGGCTCTCCTTAAATGTCAGCTTGCCACGGAGCATTGTCCCTGGCCCTTAGATTGGATTGGGTCGGGTGTCCTCTGCTAAATATTCCCGCAGCTTTCAATACTTCCTTATCATTGTTACTCCTTTCACACTGTCATAATTACTTATTTTTTAAAATCTGTGTCCTCCATCCAATCGTAAGCTCCAGGAGGGCAAGGACTATTCTGTCCTGTCCTTTGCTTTATCTCCTTTGCAGTGACAGGCCCATCAGGAGTACTCAGTAAATATTTGTTGAGTGAATGAATTAATCAATGAATAAACCAATGAATCAATGAAGGCATTTACTTATCAGATGATAAACTGGGGTCTTCTGGATTGATTGATGGATCAGATGGCTCTTGGTAAATCTTTTTATCTAAGTAATTTTAAAATGTAAGACACTATCAACTGAAATTAAAAGGAGGAAGAAGAGAGCAGTTTACTCATTGAGAGTGATTTTCTAAGACCACCACCCACAGGGAATAAGACTTGTTTCTCCAGACAGAAAAAGGACACAATGTCCAAACAAGTCAGACCTGGAAGGAAGCTTTAGAAATCAATGAGTTCACCCTTTCTTCTACAGACAAAGATGGAGCAAGGACGAGACCTGCTGAGGTCTGAAGTCACTGGGCTATTTGGCGGCAGAACCTGGATAGAAACTAAACCTTCTGATTTTCCAACCCCTCGCACCCCAACTTCCATATAATCCCATTCCCACACCAATTTGAAATATAGCCTGGAGAAATGGAGCCCCATAGATAATTTCTGGCTGTAATGGTGTCATTGATTTGCTGGACTTTTTTTTCCTGCAAAAGAAGAAAACAGTAACATGTCATATCTTCTCTACAGGAGAACATTTCCTAATAGAACCATGCACTGGAACTCTGAAACATCCCAAACATTGTACATTAACAATAGTAATGGCCATGAGCAGATATTTATACACATGCAAGTACAAGCTGAAGACAATCTATTTTAAAAGTTGCATTGACCTTTATGATATATATCCTGGACTCATTTCAATTGGATATCCAAACCCCCACCCATATCTGCAGGGAAAGTGTTTTAACCCAGCATGCTGTCCCCAACCAACACAATTTCCAGCTTTGAACTTATCCTGGGATTGCTTTTGCCCGGCAACTACTCTGCAGCTAAAGCGTTATTGTTTCCTTTTAACGATAGCCTAAGCAACTATTCATTTTTAATGTAAAGTCCTGGAACTTAACAAGCTGATTAAATGATAGACACTCACTTTTTGCTTCTTTCCGTGCCTCTGTCTTCTTCTAGATTTCTCTGCTTCTCCAATTTTTAGCGAGTGTGTTATCCAGAACACTGGTTCAATAAAGGTCATCACGAAACAAGGAAAAGATCAGCTCGTTTCTTCTCTCTGCTGTTAGTCTTTGAGCACAGTGAGACTCGAGCAGCTTCCTGCCGGGAGGGGTCCTGTGGTGCAGCCACACACTGCCTGTGAACTCGCTCCCAGCCAATGAGTATGGAGAATGGCACCTACCGGGGCAGATGTCTCCCCATCTACTGTCTCATCACCAGTAAAGCTCTGAGCCCAAAGATGCCACGTGGCCAGGAGTTGCCGTGCTGTCAACCATGCACAACTGACATCAGCAAAGGTTGAAATGAGCATAATCTCCAACCATTCCACATGAATCTTAGGTGAGCTAAACCTCTCTCACAGTGGTTCTGTCCATTGTCATACTATCATATTAGAGAATGGTTTTGGTTTTTGCCGCATGTTCAGCTTTGGGAGGAAAATGCAAAGAAGAGGAAAGAAGGAAAGGCACGTCCTTCCTCCCAGACTTCAGTGGAGTCAACCCAGGGAATCAATGCCATGACAGATGTTGGAGACAGATGCCCGCATATCCACTCGATAGTCAGGCTTAACGAACTAACCCAGGAAGAGCAATTAGAGAATTCATTAATTATACTCTAGGTTCACTTCCATTGTTAACTTTAATCCTTTATTTGGGCTAATGACTTCAGCTTTTCTTATAATAATTTGTGCCTATCAGGGAATGATATCATCTTCAAATTTCCATAACTGTATAAAATTCAAATTATATGTGTAACTCTTTTTAGTTTTGCAAAGGACCTAAAGTAGCTTCTAAGGATGCATAAAGTACTTCAAGATAATATAAATTAGGAGAAAAACAAAAGTAAGAACATAACATGCAGCAAGGAATAAGGCTAATATAAAAATACAAAGTCTTATACACTTGCTTCGGGTTCTATTTTATAGGCAGGAATAAGTCAGATAGCTCAGCCAAGATTTCCACCCATTAACAATACACAGGCATTTGTTTAGTCTTACAATTAAACATCCACCACCGTGGATCCACTCCAATTCAATAATTTGCTAATTGTTTGTCTTTGTTATTCTTGCATAACATGCTGTCCAGTATTCCCTAATAGTTTATTACAAAAACCAGAAATTTCTATAGTGAATAAAACATAATGGAAAATGCATTTTTATTCACTTTATATACTGTGGCCAGCTTCTGAGAGGAGGGTAATGAGCTTCTGCACTGCTAAACTTTCAGGTGACTGGTCTTGCTCTTGAGCTAATACATATGCACTCATTTGCATACCCTCTTTCCCTCCCCCTTGAGCAACCCACACTCTGACACAAGAGCCTCCTTGCTAGGCGCGGAAACCGTTTCAAGATGTTTCAAGCCAAGAAATGGCCACCTGCATGCATTCTGGTTAAGACTTTAAGTTATCCCACCACTCAAGTCTTCCTCAGGAAAGTTCAAAAGGTGTTCATCTGAATCATTCATGCTTTTGTTATCCTTGACCTAAAGCAATCTGGTATATTTTTTTATGGGGAGAGGGAGAAGTAGAACTTTTATTTAAAACTTTTTAAAAAAAATCCACATGCTCTAATATTTCAGTAATGTATGTTTTTTTAATTATATTTTAAAGCCGTACCTTATATTATGTATAAGCTAAGTTCTAACATGAAGTAGTGTAAAACAAATAAAATTTATGAAAAATCTACTGTTATTTTGATCAAAAAAGAGACCCATATATGAAAATATGATGTCGCGTAAATGCATAATTTTATCTTGTTCATATATGCAATTCTGTTTGCTATATAAACTAAAGGAACCCATAATACGCTTAATTTACTTCTAACCTGATTTAAAATGCCCAAGCCAGAAAACAATTACAGTAACTGAATTTTATTTGGATTTATTAGAATGGAAACCTTTTTTGTGATTTCTGGAGCAGAAAATGTGTGACACATGAGACGATGCATCCTCATCTGTTCAGGGAAAGAGGTGCAAATCCACATCCACACAGAACTGCTGGAGAAAAAATATACATCCATGTAGTGTGGTTTATTTCACCTTTGCAAGCTGGGAGCCATTAAGTAATGTCTCCCTCCACTCCCCCAACCCCCTTCGGTAAAACGCATCCTGAACATTGGGCCCATGTCTTCAAGAAGAATGTGCCCCTCTGCCCCTTGGAAACGCCATTTCATTTACTCGGTTCAGTTAGTTAATGACGGTCCATTTTGACTCCAACATCCAATTCCCTCTCATCAATCATGTCTTTCTGGACTGTCAGTTTCAGAGCAATGATTACAAAGCCTTTCCACACAGATTTCCACAGAGAAAGACCCAGACCCACTTCTCCACGTAGGATCTCCTGCAAATGAAAGAATGACTTGTGTGAAAGGGGGAAACCCCACTGGAAAACGAATGTTGGTGACTCCAGTGTTAATCTAGGAAGTCTAGTTATTTGGTGCTGGAAAGTGGCATTGTAACAAGGTGGTTCCTTATACCAAGCAAACCTGCGGAATACAAAACACTGTCAACCATGGAAATAAGATTTAATTTGGAATCACAACACACAGCGTTTTTTGCACTTTAAATTCTTCTTATTCAATCATAGTTGCTATAAATATTCAATAGAAATGCAGTTTTCCAAGACTGAAATGGTCTTTAATGAAGCAAGCCATGTGTGGCTTTTCAGTCAAGCATTTTCATGCTTGGTTAACTGTCAGAATGTTTGTGTTCCTTTCCCAAAAAATATTCTTGGTGATTCTGGTCAGGTCTCTGAAAAGCAACTTATTCTCTGGAGACTGAAGGAGTCATCTACACAGCACAATTCTGGGGACATCAAAGGCATGAAGCATTTCAGATGTGCTTTTAGGCAGAGGCGGACCTTCTGTTTGGACCCGGCCAACCATCCATGGGTTGTTACAATTAATCCTGCCGAGTGTTAGTGCTTCCTTGGAAACTGGGAGAATCGAATTCAACTCCTGCTCCAAACCTTGAGCAACTTACTTTCCCCTTGTGAGGCTTAAGGTGTCTGATCTTTAAAATACGGAAGTTGGGCTCCACAGAGAGTCATCAAAATACTGCCGGTGGGCCAAATTCAGTCGGCTACTTGCTTTGGTAAATAAAATTTTCTTGAAACACAACCATACCCATTAGTTTACTCTTGTCTGCGGCTACAAGGCAGAGTTGAGTAGTTATTGCAGAGACCATTGGGCCCACAAAGCCCAAATTATCTACTATCTGCCCATTTATAGAATACATTTGCCAGCCCTGCACTAGGTGATTTTTTTGAGTCCCTTCTAATTCTAGAATTCTTTATGTATTTTCTGAAACACCTAATGTCTATCATTAATCCTTTCGATATTCATCTCTTTGCTAAGCTCCTCCTATGATGCATATACATCAAGAGACATGTGTGATACATTAACCAAACTTTGTAATAGTTTTTCTTTCTTTCTTTTTTTTTTTTTTTTTGTAGGATTTAAATGATATTAACAGTCCTTGGAAATAACCAAGGGAACATTTGGGGGCAAATGTCTTATGATTTGATTATCATTGGTAAATAGAGCATGTCTTTTTTTCTACTAAGAATGTTTGAGAAGAAAAAAAAAAATGAAGAAAACCCCGTATGGCACTGGAGACTTATTGCATTAAGACATCATCTTAACAGATTGTTTAGTTTTGGTAATATAATTTGACATCTAAACATAAGCTGAGAGGGATCTCTCTCAAAACCTTTGATAATATGATTCATTGTCAAATGTTTGTTTTGCCTATCTGGCACTCATTAATTAATTCTTTTTAATATAGCTTGGATTTACTGATTTTGAAAAAGAGAATTATTCTTATTGATGTTGCTAAAATATCCAGGTGGCTTGAATTTCACCAACTAGATAGTTTAATCTAGCACATTTGTGTAGCCCTAATCAAATCTTTACTAACAGATGTGAGAAGCCCAGTACTGGAGCTAATGTCTGTATCTCAATGATAATTAAATTAGCTCAATAAGGAAAATAAGTGAATAATAATCACCAAAATTTTTCCCTAAACTTGTGTTATAGTCTTAAAGACATTTTTCTTCCCCTATGGAGGCTTTCAGTAATGAAACACAAATTGAGAGCTTTAAATTAAAAGATCTATACTTATTTTTTTAAAGAACTGGCCATGTAATAAATTGCTTATAATCAAGTAATCAAATAGCACTTCTTTTACCAAAAAAGCAAAATTTATAATGAAGCCAAAATTCAAATTTAAGTTCTCTCCACAAATTCATGATAAAGATTGAATAATCTTTTCTTTGGGCCAATAATGTATAGATTTTTTTAAGGTATTATCTCTTCATAGTATTTTCTAATGAATAGGAAATGCCTTTCTCAGGTTGAATGATTATTTCCACATATAATTAGTTCCTGCTTACGACAGTGCCATGCCAATGTCATGGCTCAACGAATCAGCTTTATAATTCATTAATCATAGCCCTCATTGAGCTTTTGGGTTCTGGTGACAGTGCCCAGCACAGGCCAAATAACTTCTCATTTAGAGGCAATTTGTACAAATAGGGAAGGCGAGAATTCTCACATTCACCAAAGATTTGAAGAGTTCTTAAAAAGCCAAGATGAGGCATTTTATGGAAGGCAGGTTCATGGAAGCAAGGTGGCTCACGGATGAGGCCGATGGCTCTCGAGGGAGGCCCTGGTACCGCCGCCATGGGGGAGGCCACGTCGCAGCTGCAGATCAGAGCACATTTGACGGGGTTTCCGTGTGAACACGGAGACAATGCTGCCTCTGTTCCTGTGACGCTGTGCCTGACCTTGCTGGAGGCAAAGTCGCGTCAGCTGCGCTCGCAGGACGGTCGCCGGTGGTAGAAAAGGGGCCAGGGTGGCCTGTCCAGGACTAGTCCTCTCACCCAGCCCGCGCGCCTGCAGGTGTGGCCACCTGTATTTGTGTATTCTACCGTATTTATTTATTTGCCTGGCTAATCAGATCAGGATCACATTCCCAAGCTACATGTGTCCCTTTGTTAAAGAAGAAAGAAAGAGGGAAGGTAAGAAAGAAAGAGAAAGAGAGGAAGGAAGGAAGGAAGGGAAGATAGAAGGAGAAAAGGAACGAAGGAGCCTTCTAATGTTCTTTAGTTTTTCCAATGAATTTTCTTATTTTAAGATCTCTTAGACAAGGATTAGAAATATGATTTGACAGTCAGAAAGTATGTGAATGTATTGTTTTATTGCATTGTAAGTAAAGCATCCATTGCAAGATATTATACAAGTAAAATAGCCCCTGCTCCTGTCCTGGGCTCTTAGTTTAATATATTATCTAAGTTCCAAGATAATATTGTAATTATTTTTTCTTTCATGAGGAGGCCTAGGATTTAGCTTGATTAGAAAAGCTGTAGAAAATGAATATACTAATTACTTTAAATCAATTGAAAATAAATTTTATCCCGTTTCATGAAAAACAAAGTGTAATTTGCCTGTGAATTCATTCAAATAATAAAATCAATTATGTCCATAAGTGATCGGGCACCTAATGAGCCAGCCCCTGTCCTAATCCGTTATTTATCTCCTATAATTCACATAATGAAGATGTGGGAAGATCTCAAGTGACCCACTGATCAGAGGAGGAAATTGAGGCTGCCACCCAGAGTGCTGCTGGAAGGATTCCTCCAGCACACTTGGGTGGGGGTCTGGCTAACTTCCCGTGGTTATGGAACCCACCTCTGCAAAGCACAAGCACTTAGACAAGTTCTCAATTTTAGCATGAAACACACTTTTGAGACACGATCACATGACTCATATCGAGTCACTAGAAGGTATGTTAACAGGACTGGCATACAAATTTAAATATGAGTATTCTTTCCATCTAAATAATTTGTTATAATTAATTTATTTAAAATATCTAAACTACTTCTTTATGTGGGAACAGGAGCCTCTGGTTTACAGAATTACCAATATATAGAGCAGAGTAAGGCATTTAGAAGATGACAGGAAGTATCAGAAGTATTGCAAACCAAATTAGTGAGACAATTGCAGAAAACTGAATAAGGTCTATAGATTATAGATTATAGTGCTATACCGATACTAAGTTCCTGATTTTGGTTATCGCACTGTGGCTATGTAAGACAACGTCCTCATATGAAGGAAATAAACACTGAAGTCCTTAGGGATAAAGGGACATTATGCCTACAACTTATTCTTAGATGGTTTAAGAAAAACAATAAATACATCTACATCTCTTGAGAGAGGGAGAATATAGAGCAAGAATGGTCAAATGTGAACATTTTGGCAATTCTAGATGAACAGTACATGGAAATTTTTTGCTCTATTTTTGCAGCTTTTTCATATACCTGAGATTATTTCATACTTAAAAATTTAACATTAAAAAAGAAACTGCTTGCCTGAACTTCCAATTCCCAAGGACATAATGCCAGCGGTATCAGTAAAATGCCAGGGTGTTCTGAGACTGGTCATGGCAGTAAATGTTTCTTTCCACAGGCTTGGAGCTTGGTTTCTGGAAGCCAAAATGATCATAAAATCGTGATGGCTAAAATAGGATTCATTTTCCAGCAATTTATTTGACTGGCCAATGGAAAATACCTGTTCCACTAAACAATGAATAGCAACATGAAAAAGCACACTACTCTCAGGTTAAATGTCCCAAGTATAATAATATGCGTCAACATTTATATTGTTCTCCTTACAGACAGAGGTTTTTGTGTGCTGAATTTTCAATTATCAATACCAAATATTAAAATATTCCTATAAATGTAGAAGATCCGCAAACACCATGGTTAAGATTAAGAAACACCTTCATGAGAATATATTTTTCATTCAAGGGGAGGTAACAGAAACATGGAAAATAACTTCAGAATTAAACTAAGAATATAGAAGAACCATAAAATGTAAAAAACAGTGAGACTGTGAGTCTGGAAGTAGGTAATATTCAACATATATTTCAATTCTTAATGTATTGAGTGCTTAATGCTTTTTAAGGTTGCCCTCTGTGTTTGATAGAGGATTTTCACTAGCACCAACAAATAAAAAAACAAATGAACAAAGAGGATTTAAATGTCAAATGTTTCTCCCCTGACTTGGCTTAGACATTACTAAGCACTTGACATTTAGGAATGAGGAAAAGCCGTGAACCTGGTCAGTGGACCCAAAGCCAGTTCTAGTACCAGTTCTGCAACACATTCAGAGTCACCAAACAGCTGCCCTTCTCTGGTCCTCAGTTTACCCATCTATAAAATGAGGAGGTTAGTGTACATTTACCATAACTTGTTCTGACTGAAAACATTGTATGAGCTTACCTTGTTAGAGAACATGAATTCCAAGGGGAGCATTTGTATTATGTTGCAAAAGCATTTTATTGCATTTAATATCGCTCGAAAACATTGAGCTACCAGCTAGAACTCAGTTTTGGGCTACATGGACAATGTTGTTTTCATGAGAATTTTCTTTCTAATAAGAGAAATTGACGTGCAAGCAAATCTTATGTGTATCTTCTTTCTAGGTTGGGTGTTTGAATCAACTAAAAAACAACCCAGTTACCTACATTAAAAAAATAAATTTTTTGCACTGGAAACTAACATCATTAGAAAGTTTGGTGATTCCATCTCTTTTCCTTTCCTTCCAAGAAGAATTTGACAAAATCTGGAGAAGTCACCCAAATGTCAGTCTTTCGCATGCCACTTTCAATATTTTTCTACCTGTACTTTTATTTACTTAACTTTTTTTCACATTGACTCATTTTTTTAAACGTTAAGTGCCTACCCCAGCCTCAGACATACCCTTAGTACAATATGGGTACTGCAGGAAAAAATGCCCTAAGGGTTAGGTAGTGGTAATGAATATTTATGGTTTTCCAAATGCTTCCACATATATTAGCTCATTTAATCCTTACAACAACCCCCAATTTTATAGGTGAGAAAATGGAGACTTAAAGAGGT